AAATATCACATAAATAAAAAGCATTACTCAGTCTGTCCAATTCCGCATGCAGCGACTGCAGGAATGATATTCAGAATTAGTCAAGTCATTCTCAAATGAGCATAATCATTCATACTTAAACGCTGCCGCCTCACCGTGCCCAGAGAAGCTGACAGCTTCTGGCCCATGTTGTGCTCCTCAGATGTGGCCATTTTTGTGGTCCCTAAGAACATCTTACACGACACACCACGGAAAGCAGTTCCATGTTGAATATTGTAGTATTTGTGACTGTTCTCTGTTTTTGCTAATGAAGTTTTGCTGTAATAAACAAGTGAATTAGTGGATTTGGATTTATATCAATGAAATTAATATGAGCATGAATGTAAATGTAAATACATTCGACCTTCCCTTATCATGCGGGTTAGGGGCGTAGCCCCTCCCCTGCCTCCCCCACGATCTGGAAAAACTGCATAAAATGTTTTTGGTACCCCTGAGCTCTTTAGTGAGCGAAGTCAGCGTGCGAGTAGAGCGAAAAGATGGGAGAAACGCGAGATACAAAGATGACTATGAGACCCCAACTGAGAAGCTGTATATATATTTTATGCGTTTATGACTTACTAAACCTGTGTGTTGCCTTCTGGTTTTCTGGCTTTTGGGAAACTCCCAAAAACTCCCAAAAATCCCATTAAATTTCATATGCCGACGCGGCGATATATCAAAGGCGAGATGGAGAACTTTGTGAAGCCGAGTGGCCGGCCCTATATCTGCAGTAGTTAGGTCTACAGGACCAAACAAATCTGAGAATACATGTGCCACACAATTTTTATTTTCCATTTTACTGAAGCACCTTGCATAATACTGTATGTGAGCAAAATTAAATAGGATCTTTTCGATTTTTTCGAAGTTAAAACTTGCAGGTACTTTGTTAAGTTTGGGCCGGTGTTGTTGTTTTGGGATGGTCTAGCCTGTGTGCAAAACAAAGCATCACAGATGCTATGTCATGACCTGAAATAACAAGTAAACCAGCAAGTAACTGACCTGGATAAAAACTCCTTCACAGCACAGTAAGAGACTCATCAGCAGCTCCATGAAGTGGCTGGTTGCAGATGACATTACCAGTTACTGAGCTAAGGGGGCTATTATTTTTTAATACCGGCTGTTGCGCAACTTTTTTCCCTTTAAAATATGTGAATTTTTTTCACTTATATTCTCAGCTAGCTAATACTCATAAAAGATTTACATGCCTGACCATACTACTCAGAGAGACTGTTCAGACCCCCTTTCCTTGCTGTTGGATATTTATCTGCTGCCCAGCTGCCCTTAAACAGCCCGTGTCGTTAGTCGGGGATGATGAGGAAGTGAGCATAACAGAGGTGTGGGGGTGTGGGGATGCGAGGCTGCTTTCTTAAGATCCATCACCAGCAGCCTCACAGCATAAACACGCTTTTCATATAGCCTTATGTACAATTTCATTTTGGAGAGTGAAACTGCAAAATTAGTTTTTTTTTTCTTTCCCTGAACCATCCTGTTTGCTGGTCTGGTAAATTGCAGCAAAAATCGCCAGATTGTTGGAGGCAGAAAACAGGGATAATGATGAAAACTTTTAAGGCTGATAGCATCCCTGTCTGCTGCTGCTTAGTGTGATTGACATTCTGAACTGGAAAGGTCAGCAGGTGATTGTGCTCTGCGATGAGAAGCCTTGGTTATGCCTTCATCCGGCACCTAGATGCTCACCACTTACACCCTCTGTAGTTTTCTTCATGCATGTCAAACAGTAGTAGTTCAAGTCCTGTTCCCTGTAATAAAAAGAATAGAATTGATTCGAAAAATGAAACATTCAAATCCAAACAATTGATTTTTTTAGTATCAATCTGTACATCCTTATGGACATCCTCTGTGTGTATGTGTCAGTGCATAAGTAATGTAAGGGGAACGTGTTGATCAATAAGGCGGGAGCATGCAGGCTGAATAAGGAATCAAGAGGAGGGTGTCCTGATGGTTGTGGGGGGTGTGAAGGGGGGGGGGGTACAGGAAAGGGATGCAAGCTGGCAAAAACAACAGGAACTCAAGATGGGCGCTGCGTTCCTTAATGAGTCCCATGCGTTGTTTGGTATTCTCCCCTGCGTCGCTTTGCACTGTGAACCTGATCCTGACTTTCATCCCATTGTGTTTACACGGGTTTAAAAATGCATGTACGGTACGGTCCACTCGTGAATGGCGCAAGAGTCTTTGGCCTTAGGATGCCATTAATTATTTAAGGCAGAGTGAATATGCTCATGCCGCCGTAACTGGTGGCCCAGTGCGGGAGAAGGTGGCGGGCGGACTGGGTGAACGCGAGCAGTGTTGCTGACGGACAGCCCGGATCCGTTTCAGGGACAGTGCGGCCGGTGTACTCTTTCAGCGTAATGATACACTATTTGACGCTCTACCTGTTCATTTATTTACTTGTATCTTTTGTTTGCTACTGTTTCATTTGGAAAATCGCTCTGCTATTTATTTATTCTTTCATAATTCTTAAAATGCCTGTATGCTAGTTGGTAACACACGTTCAGTCGCTAAGAGAACACGATCTTTAAGCATCCCACATAATTCGGATGGTAAAATAAGTGGATGTCTTTTTACTCCAACAGATCATCCAGAAAATACTTATATCTTTTGTCGATTAAGCTACCTCTTATATATTTAAACAACACAAATTTCAGATGTGTCTGTTGGCTCTTTCCAAAACAGCCCTGTTCATATCAACAGTACAGTAACATTTCTTGTGTGAATATCAAACATTCGTGAGCCCAACTCTCCATAATAATGCATGTCCTCGCTGTTGTCTTTTGCTGGATGAACATGGATTAGGCTGAACTTTCAGGGTACGTGATGGTGATAGCTGAAGGCTCTGAATGAGAGAGCAGGGCTGCTGAATTACCTGTGTATGATTTGTTGTCCTATAAGCAGTTTTCACGGGGCTGTGTGGACTGTACCGGGGTGCTTGGTGTGAGCATGACTTCAGCTGGAGTGTGGCTCAGGGTGCGGTAGCCTTCTGAAGAGAGACGCACATTGACGTGTGAGTTGGCCTTTGCTCAGTCGGGGACGGTCATTGGCAGGCACCCCTCTTCTCCGCAAGCAGAGAGCATCTGGACTGTGGGGTGCCGTGACCAGGTCGGGTCCGATCCTGGCACCGTGGCGACTCGCAGCAGAGAAGCAGCCCGGTAAACAGCAGGGAATACATGAATAACAATCAGACCCGTGGAAAAGGTGTTCGGAAATTAATACCCTCCCCTGGGAAAGTCTTCTCCCTGCAGCAGTATTTATGTAGGGAGTGCCTAAATGAGGATGTGCTGGCTCCGTGAGACCGCCCCTAGGGTGCTGGAGGCAAGGTCTGGGGTACAGGCAGACAATAAGGCAAACTGTCTGGGGTCACTTGGCAGACTAACCAAGGCGGGATGAACAGGAGCGAGACACAGGGATCCGCGCGGCCGTACTGGCCACACGTGGCGGAAATGGGCAGTCAGTCTCCGTTTACAGTCACGGTGACTCTGCCCCGCTTCTGCGCTCTTGTCTTTTCCATGCAATACGGTGATGGAATCAGCCAAAGTGAGAAAAAGTAGGAAAAAAACGTCGCCTGGTGTTTAGGGAACAGGCTTGCAGAGAGACTTATCTTTCTGTTTGGGTGTACCGTTTGTGATTGGTAACTTTGCGACTTTTAATTCTGTCTCCATCTCCAAGATTACCTCTTCAAGGTTTATGTGCTTTGTGAAATATATAGAGTATTTTACAAATGCACAAAGAATGGAAAAATGAGACTGGAAATGAATCCATCACTTTGCACACTACATTCTGACAGACATCATTGCTGGGTTCTCCTTATCTTGGGTTTCTTGAGACGGCGATTGAATTCCCGTCTGTCTCATGAGGGGCTATAGCTTCTCACTGTGTCGCATTTTATGTATAAAGTCAACCTCTGTCTTTGTAACTGTACACAGTGGGTTCATTAAACCTCAGGGTCACATTTGTTTTATAGCGACAGGGCCGCCTTTTATCTCTATGACCCACATTATAGGCTCTTGTTTGTCACGTTGGGTGATGGCCTTGCATTTTGCATTAGCTGCTTTTCCTGTCCTTACGTGTTGCTGCCACATTGCCCTCTCTTGCTGTAATTAATTTGTGGCTTGTGTGTTTTTTTCTTAACATTTCATATCTGAATTAGTTTTGTGTGCATATTTGAATAAATTTGCTAAAATACACATTGCCAAGCCAGCCAGGGTGACTCAGCCTCCCACAGGAGTAATTTACTCGCACCTCTCATCTTATCCACTGTATTTGACCTGTGCCCAAAATTAATGATCCGACATGTAGTAGACAACCCTTTATCGCACCTGAAAGCATACATTGTATGCCTCAAACATTTGCCTAACTGCTCTTTTCTGCAAGTCTTCCTCCCGAAATATCTGCATGCACTCTGAGTTCTTTGAGTGCTCCTTGTTTTATGATCTGGAAGCTTCTCTGTTGTTTATCGGACTGTATTTTTAATACGACTGGCAGCATTATTGCAACACTGCATACATCAGCCGTTTCCACTTCAGATGAATTACTGTAATAGGCCGATGTCTAAATTAAGGCCGTGACACAGATTCAAATAATCGCATTTCTTCCAGTTTCAGAGTTATACTTCAGGTGGAACTAATATCGCTCAAAATGGCAACCAATCAGCTGTAGATGCTGCATTGTTTTCCTTGAACGCATTAGGTCAGATTGTTTCATTATTTCACGTTCAAAATTCAATTATTTTACGCGATGAAAATTCAATTATTAAAAGGTCATTTTCCTTTAATTAATCTTTAAGGTTATACATCTTGATTGGTTTCATATAGCAGTGTGTCTGCATGACTGTTGTCCTACACAAAGTTGTCCCTTAGGGTTGCTGAGATGTTTGGATGCCATTTGTGACATAATATGTCATATTTATTAGAATCACAGAGTTTTTGCTGTTTTTTTTTTCTTTCTCTCCTGCCCCTGCTGCCGGACAGTAAATAAGAAGAATCGGGGACCTCTTGGTAAGATTTTTTTAAACCAAGGGCATCTAATCCCAATGTATAACCTGCTGTTTACGTATGTTCCTGTTCATAATGTTTTGCCCTATAAAGAGCACTAACACAAGTGCCAGCTTTCTCCTTTAGCACCATCTGCTGGCTCCAAGCCGTTTCCTTCTCTTGGTCCTCGGCAAACTTCTAAAGCCGATATTAACGTTCCCACTCTGCTCACTGCATGTATTTTATTCTTCAGAGCATTTTATTTGCCTTGGTTTGCTGCCATGGTATGCTACGTATCTGCTTAATGGCTGTGTCTTGGGCACCGTAGCGTGAATGTACGGTGTCTGACTTCAAACGCTGAAAAAAGCGAAGAGTAGCATGTGCGTTTAAGTAATGGCAATGATATTAGCATTAAATATTGTCCCAGCAATAATGTGAGTCAGTTGGAACAGGATTACAGTTAATATCCCAATGGTTTATTTGTTTCTTGGTTGTTTTACAATGAGTTCTTTTCTACTGTGTACGCCCCCACTCAGACTCAGACGTCTACATTCTTAAGAACATAGCAGAGACGGCCTCCGGGGACCAGCTCATTAGTCAGCCTCTGGATGGCTTTTGCCATCAAAGCCAACTTCATGCTATCTAGCATAGAGGGACCTGATTTGGGTCAGTTAATCCATACAGTGTGTTATTTTTACCAGGGCTTCGAAACGCGATAGGCAGCTTTACCGCCATCTCTAGTGCTCCCTCCAGCTATTCCTTTTCCCGTGACCACTTTCGGTCGCGGTGTGTCTACCGCTGGACAACCTGGACACGGGCTAGAGAGTTTACCTTACCGTAAGCCATTTCTCAGTATACAAAACAGTCATGCCTTTCTAGGAAGATCCAGAAAATAAAAGCCCCCCCCCCCCCGCCCCCCGTTATGCATTCTGAATCTCATTTTTGGGTTTTTATATATTTTTTTCGACTTTTTTTTTGGCATTCTGGGGAGAAAGATGAAACTGCCTGAGTTAAAGGATGCTGCATGACATCGCCTGTCAACACCGAAAACTAATGAGCAGAGTCAGCCAGATCACCGGTGCACAAGATCAAATTATTGGTTTCTTCTCTCCCCTTTTTCCTCTGTCGAAGCAAGGGGAAATGTATTGGGGGGGGGGGGGAGTGTGTGAGGGTGCCCTCCCTTCGCGGTCTCAGCCGCGGGAGTCAGAAAGAACGTTCTGGGCCTCTTCTACCATTCGCTCCTTGTGGTGGCGCCGTGTGAAAACCTCTAATTGTTCTTCACACCTCGGAAACATATGGCGAGCTCCGCCCCAAAGCCGCCCCTGTCCCCGTTGGCGCTCGCTGTGTGGCGTTTGTAGGCCTGGCGTTAAGTTGCTGTCAGCAGCCATGATGAGTCTATGAATAGCCTTTGTGTGCGAGAGTCTCATCACGGGGCCGCTCAGCCATGCCGAGGTTACTCCGCAAATCCGCGCGCTCGCTACAGTTTGTTTGCTCGCCGCTTCCTCTTTGGATTTGGCCAGAGGCTTAAAGCAGTCAAAACAACTTTGATGGAGAAATTTAATGTCTCAACACGCCATAATCTCTGACAGAATGCATGTCGATACTGTGTTTTTTAAAATCTATCAGATGGCTTCCTCGGCAGCTTGGCTAGCGCCGTTAATCTCCGGATTTGTTCCCTCGTGTGGGATTTCTGTTAAATTCTCTTCGAGGACTATACCCCTGAAGCCACCACACTGTCTGTTCGGCTTCTGTCAGAATGCCTAATTGTGCGGTTGAATTTATCCTTGACATAGCCTTGATATTTTTGTAGTTGTACAACAACATAATTTTTTTCCCGGAGTAAGATGTGCTGTGCAGCTGAGATCTGTGTGCCGCTGATCGCTGTGGAGAGAACTTCTCCTTGCAACTCTGGCGTTTGTAGCAGTGAATTATCCCTTATTGCCTGGAGTTTGGGCCACAGTGGAGAGTTGAAGGTCTCATAAACAGCTTTATAAATTAAGTGCTTATCATACTATTGAAAACAAGAATATCGTCATGGAAATGTATTATGATTTCGCTCATTCATGAATGAATGCTACATTTATATAGTGCTTTACAGAACAGGGAGCCACATCAACCACGAGCCCAACAAGATGATGTCAGCCATCCTGTGCCAGTACTCTCATCACACAATAGCTAAGGTGGCGAAAGGTCAAGAGAGAATTCACCAGTTATATATAGGGGATGATTAGGAGACCAGGTCTGAAAAGACTGTAACACTTTCTGTGAATTACATGTCTATAAGAATCCATGAACACATTCATAACACATTATAATGCATTCATAAAGCATAATAAACATGGCTATAAATATTTATAAAAGGGCATAACACATTATAGCTATATTTATTATGCATTATGACTGTATTATAAAACTCTCATCTATAATGCGCTGTAGATACCTTCATAATGCACTACAAAGCATCCTTCATTCTTATATTGACTTTTATAATCAGGGGTGCAGATAACTGGTACGCAAGTACGCATTCACCTTTAAGAACGATATGTGCGACAATTGATTGTTTGTAAAAGCGCAAATGCACAAAATAAGCACGCGTACCAGTTATCTCCACCCCTGTTTATAATGCATTATGAAGGTATCTATAATGCATTATAGATTAAAGCTATAAGTAAAGTGTCACTGCAAGGGCCACAGTGGGCAATATTAGCCAGGATACCACCCCCTACTCTTTAAAAGGATGCCCAGGGATTCTTCATGACCTCAGAGATTCTGGATCTCAGTTTTCCATCTCATCTGAAGGACAGCACCATTTTTACAGCACTGTGTCCCTGTCACTGCACTGGAATTCACAGTGACAGCATGGGTTAACTTGTTGATCACACCAACACCTCTTCCAGCAGCAACACAGCTTTCCTAGTTGGTCTCCTCTCCAAGTAGTGGCCAGGCCCAAACCCGCTTAGCTTCAGGTGGATTACCTAGTCTGAGGTGCAGATGGTATGTCTGCTGGCCAACAATTAATAGCTTTTTTATTGTCCATTCAGTGGTATTTTGCAGCTAGGAAAGCTGCTTATTGATCAGGGTTTGATCTATTGATCTAGGGTTTTTTATTTGGGACATGAAAACGTGGAAGATATCAGATGTCATGTTAGGTGTTTATAAAATTGGACACTATATTTCCAACAGTAGATAATGAAAATTCTGAAAATTACAGCCCTGTTTTGTATATTTATTACTTTTTAGTTTATTTGCTTTTGTTTTTGTTAGCCTCAGCTTATTTCAACGTCTCTGGAGTCTTTTGTTTTTTATTACTTATTTGTGCACTATATATATTTCCAATGACAAAGTAATATCTTTTCATCTTTTGTAAGGAATTACAGAACTAACAGCTACTTTTAAACAATGCTTTAGAGATGCATCAAAGGGCTTGGTTCACATGGTACAACTTCAGATTTACATTTCGGAATTCATTTTCGTGATCCTATCATGTTTTTAAATTCCTAAGAAACTGTTAGTGACTTGCCAATTTCCTATCCTTCAGCAATGTACGTATATCATTTGGGCTGCTTTGGTTATAAGTTTATCCTTTGAAAGGATGAAATGAAGCTAAAAACAAAAAGAAACAATGCAATAGCTTGCATGAGCACTCAAAATGCCTTGTATTCAAGTCCAGTTCTCTTCAAATTCGGGAACGTCAACAGAAAATGTTCTGTAGCAGTCTGTAGCGAGGCTTGTTGATATACATTGATCCGCAAGTAAACATTTAGATCTTACCTTGCCCCCTCTCCTCCTCAGGATCACCGCCAAGTATTCTATCAATTATTTAGTGTGCCTGGTGTTCCCATAGATTACCTTCATCCCAAGAGGAGCACATGCGTTTAAGAGGTCTTTGGTTAATGAGGGGGGTTAAGAAACGTAGACTGATCCAAACGGCAACCTGCAGAGTGGTGCACGCCGATTTAGCAATTCCTGTTGAGGGAATGAGTCACATTTTCCTGCTTGGTAACTTTGGCTAGGTTTTGATCTCCCTTTTTAATTTAAAGTGCTTAAAACAATCTCTGCTGCTCCAGGCTGCACTTTAAGTCCCATTTATCCTTCTGCAGCCTCAGATTATTGCAGTAACAAAGGAGGATCTGTCCCTGAATCTGATTTGTGGCTTATCTTGACCTTTACGACTGAAATGGGTTTAATAACATCGATACTGCTGTACTACATGCCTGTACATGCTCAGGGGACTTTGTTTGACTCGACCCTGTTTTATTTCAGGGTAATACCGTCTTCACATAACAGTTGCATGGAATTCTCTTTGATATGAGCAATGCTTTAAAATACTCCTTTATCAGTATGCAGCCTTGGCGTCAAAGCCCTTTGACCACAGGTACGATGCTCTGTCTCAGTACTCTGATTGGTGGCTCGGGTCATAGCTATTGTGACTCATTACCTCATCTTGCACTCTTTCTCTCTCTCTGTCTCTCTCGCTGATGGACAGATTCAGATGCCCCTGCTGACACTGCGCCCCCAGTGATTGTAGTCCCACCCAGGAACACCACAGTGGTAGCGGGTGCCAGTGAGGTGACACTGGAGTGCGTGGCCAATGCGAGGTTAGTTATTATTGTCCTGTCCATACCTCACATCTGGAGAGCCTGCTGGTCCTCCTGTCCATACCTCACATCTGGAGAGCCTGCTGGTCCTCCTGTCCATACCTCACATCTGG